TGCAGAACCCTGCTGCTATCGTTAGCTCACAACTATCATCAAAGTCTTAATCTGGAGTAGGATTTAAAGAAAACTGAGATTGTCCATCTTCATACAGTTTTCTGTCCTCCTGTGCCTTTGGGACTATCACCATGAACGAAGGGGAACTTTAAAATTGCAGTTTCTCTAGAAAGACGCTACTTAAGGAAGGTCTGAGGAATAAATGGGAGATAACTTTGTAGGTATTTCTGTAGAAATTCTAACTTTCTTGTACCACTGCTCCTCTTGATTATATTAAGGCAAGAATTATGTCTGTACATTTACGTGTCGGGGGTGCTCTGGGTGTTGCAGTGTAATACAGCTTGTTACAACCAAACGTTTTCTTCTCTTTCAGCTGTTACGGTGGCCTTGGACGCTCATGTCTCAGTAAGCAGTCGTCTTCCCCCTCTCAATGCCTAACTAACCCGTCTTACAAACCCATTCTCGTGAGACAGCACTGTCTAAAGGAGCCAAATTCTGCTTGAAGCCTAACCATGGTTACAATGCAAACTGCCACTGCAGGTAGCAGGCTAGTTAGTGTTTTTGAGCCCGTTTCTTGGGAAAGGTGTTGTCAAATGGTAGTAACATTAGCTGCCTGTATAGAAACTCTTTGTGGTGAGTGATATGTCATGGTATAGCTCTGAGTTTGTAGGTGAGGGGATGGAGGGTCAGGCAGGGTCAGTCTTTCAGTGAGGCTGATACAAAGTTCTCTCTTACTTTCCGACTCTTTCTCTGTTTTCACTGCAAATTTTAGTCTCCTCTAACTGATGGGATTGCACTTTCCCCTCTTCCCTGAACATCTCCTCACGAAAAGGAGATCAACCTATTCCTCTGCATCTTTCTTCAGCCCAACATTCCCCCTAAAGCCTGCAGGGGCATTAGTTATTGTGCGTGCCCCAGAAGGAAGGGGTGGCGATATTGCCAAAAAAGCAAATGCGGTCAGAAGACGCAAAGAGGAATTAACTGGCTGTACTGGGACTTGTTCTTGGAAAGACTTTAGAATTTGCCTCCCGAATGCCGCTAGAAAGGCGGGGGGGGGAAAGTGGGAGGGTTTTTGTCTGTTTCCAAAGCCGGCAGGCTTGGGCAGGAGCAGCAGGCAGATGGGGCCAGAGCCAACAAATAGCATTCAGCAAAAGATCCAACAGATCTGTGAACCTGATATGACGAGGTTGAGTTTTGCTAGAGTGGTTTTCATGGAGCAAACCTATTACTGCGCAAAAGCGGTACTGCGTACAGCAAGAGGTGCTCAGTAGCATACATGCATATATACTTTTTCCCTTACAGTAGCTGCGTGTCTCCTGCTTCAGCTTTCGGATGCACTGGCACCTCAGCAAGCGATAGACAGCCTCAGAAACTTGAGAGGATCTGGGGCGATACAGACCATCAAGGTAAGAGGCTGCAACAGGTAATACACGTGTCGAAACGAGAGTGGAGAGCTCGCAGAGTCCTCCCCTTCATTTCACAAAGGGATCCCTCTGTCTTCCTGAGATGCTCCACAGCTGGTGCCCCTGCTGCTGTCTTGGGTTTGAGCTGCTAGAAAAGCTAGAAGCTTCCTGCTTTCATGCCGATTCCATCTTGTTCTGCCTCTACTGAATTCAACAGCTGTTCTCCCTGTCTGCTCTTCACCATCATTAGTAACTTGTTGCTTTCTCCTCCTTATCCCTGCCCATCACCTCGCTAAGCTATCGTCCCTTTTTCTGTTGCTTACATTCTCCTCACAACTTGGACGTCCGCTTGATTCTTCTGCCTTGGTTTTGCTCTGTCTTCCTAGCCCAGCTAGCCATGTTCATCTTCTGTAGCTATCGCATCGATACGCTGGCAGTCCTCTTTTAAGAAGCATCCCTAGCACTAGTGTTAAAACCTACAGGGAGGGAGGCCCAAGTTGCTGAACTTGGGTGGGGTTTTTCTTCTTTTGGTGGGATTTTTTGGCTACTGTGCGTACATATTTCTGTTGATATGAGTCCTAGGTGTTCTGCTCTTAAAATAGGTCTACGTACAGGAAAGAGGAGCTGACATTTTAAAAGTTTACAAGATAGTAGTTTCTGAGGAGAAAGAGTTGCCTAAACACTGTCTCTTTGTTAGCTCTAAGCCCCTCTGGAAGGCAAATCTTGTTTAAACTACTTGTTGAAAATCAGTTTTCCGCAAACCAAGGGGGCAGGTGGGGAGCAGCTTGCACCTCTGGTTGAAGAGGCAGGGAAGGATACGAATAAATGTTACAATTAGAAGCCCTCACAGCCACTGGGGGTGGGTGATCTGTCCCTTAGCCTCTGCTGACCAACGTGTTTTTCTCATTTTGAACGCTTGCTTATTAATACTCCACATGATGTAGGAGTTGACCCAAGAACTCTTACTACAAGCTGTTGTACATCATCATTCTAGCTAAAGGCTGTGTTCTGCATCAGGGACTCATTATGGAGAGAGTAATACTCTCGGTGACCCAAATAAAGCAGCTTTGAATTCTGACATGAAACTCCCACCTATGAGGACCATGTTTTGCGTTACCTTGAGCTCACGTGTGCCCTTTATGAGGAACCACAGGAGCCAGGCCAAGATCCGTGTCATCTGTGTCTGATGGTGAAAAACTCCAGAGGATTTGGAGTAAGCGCAAGAAGAACAAATAAACAGACTAGAGGGTGCAGTTTTCAACCTGGGGTATCAAACAGCTTTTTAAGATGGGTAGTGCCTCTTCTGGAAGTATAGAGCACTCATTACAAATCTGGTTGTGCTTTTTCAGCAATACAATTACCTCCATGACTTTCGAGAGAACCTAGCTGCACATCTGGCAACAAAGGATACAATACTAAGATCGGTATCGCGATAACTAATACTGGCGTGGTGTATCTTTGTGTCTACGTGGCTGTGGCAGACACCTGGACGAGACGCCTCACTCCTGACCTGTACAGTTTCTCATCGCTGCTGCCTGTGTGACGCAGCCGCTCGCTTCCAAATCTGTGTGTAAAATGTTGGGGTGGGGGAAGGCAAAATCCTACAGGACATGCAGCATCTTCCTCTATTTGGCAGTAACATAGCTAGATAAAAATTACATCACTGGAGCTGTTTAAAAAAAAAAAAAACAAACAAACAAACCAAAAAACCCAAACCAAACAAACCTCAGCTCTAGCTTTAAACCAAAGGAAAGTCAAGCATGAAAATTTTCCTGCTGGCGTGCTCGCTGCTTATGAACTAGTAAGAACGCATTCTAAAATGTCACGGTTCCGCTCCTAGTGCGTTCAGTGATATTTGGGAACGAGACCCCTCATTCCAACAGAAGGAGGCTTTATACTGAAGATCTGTGACAAACCAAGCAGGTGGGGTTTTATATGAATATGGTAGGAAGAGACACTGCTGTAGCTGCGTGGGTGAGTTTCTGGCACAGCACTTCTGCATGCTAAGGCTAGAGAAAGTAAATAAACAATCAGCTGTGGGCTGGAGAGAATCTCACAGAAACATGCCTGTAACAATCCACATCCCTCCTGTTTAACTGCATCCACTCATAAAGATCAGAGAAGATGAACAGACTCCCCAAGAAAACACTTAAACTAGTTCTGTCCTATTTTGAGGAAGCAATGATCATCCACCTCAGTGCCCAGGTATCCTCTAATGCCCCCTGAGGTAAGTTCTGGCTCTGGGAAGAAAGCCCGTGTCACCCAGGCCGTGCCTTTCATTGTCAGCCAGACCCCTGGAGTGGAGGAACTGTTGCCTCTGGGCTGAAGTCGCTGTGCAGTTGCTCTCAGCTGAGTGTCAGCGTCCTGGCTGTCCTGCCTTGTCACCGTTGCCCGACTCCTTGCAGCTAAGTCTGTAAGGACTTTTTTTTCCCCTAGTGCTTCAAGAAACCAGCTGGTTACCTGTCCAGTACCAGCACTGCCAAGGCAGCACTGCTGTCCTGCTCTGAGGGTCACCTTCCACAGCTGCAGCCTACGCTTCCCTGTTGCCTACGGTGACACGGATGTTTATGGTGTATTTCAATAAAGTTTCAGTAACTTTTCAAGGCAGAAGTTGTGACATGAGACTCTACCACAGCACCGGTAGGTTTGAGTTGAAGTAGAACTCGCTGCTTTGCTAATTTCAAAATTTATAACCTCCTCTTAACGTGTTTGAACTCAGATACTTGAACGTGTGTTTGAGGATGATTTCTACTGATTATATTTAATTAGCTCTTACTACCCTTCCCTTCTCCCCTCCTAAGGCAGGCAACAGGAACTCTTCCAGAAGGTTCCACAGCATGGACTCACTCAGGGAGAATAGTTTGCTCAAAACATGTATTGTTCCGTCCCCGACACTCAAACAGAAATTGGAAAACCAAAAGTAGTGTCTGTCTGTCCCTTCTGCAGTGCTGAATCCTTGCAACGGAAGGTATTCAGATATTAAATACATGTCAGACAGCTTTTTAAGATGGCCCAGCGAAACCTGCTGACAGGGAGAAAAATGCTTTATTTGCTCCATAATCTTTTGCCTCCTGATTGTGGAACTCCCACAATCAATTAATACCACGTCCACGCTTTGAATGCAAAGTGACCGGTACTCTAGCTAGGCGTCATACGTGCTTCTCCACACGCATCAGTTGCTTTCGCTAGGACTACTCCGGTAAAACTCGGATGCGAGGCTCACGTCGCTGGGTACAGATGACAACGTTCACACCACCTAGCAGCTGGGTGGGTGCTGGTAGGCGTTAACCTTTTTTTAAAAATAAAAATGCTGAAACCGGTTTCTAAACAGCATTCTCTGAAGGACTCCGCTGGGTAGTCATCGCACTTCAACACGCTGGGTTCTCACAGGACTTTTAAACTTCTAACGTGCACTCCTGACCTTTCTCTGTGACGTTTTGACAGTTTAAAGACCTTTGAAATGCGATTACTTAAATTCTTCAGTTCTCATGTACTTAACCACAGCGGGCAGGACAGACTCCAAAGCAGCATTTTGCTCCTGGGGTTAGCGGTGAATTCAAGTTCACCAGCAGAACTGCACTGGCAAGCTACCACGCTGTTTTCACCTCTGAATTTCTCGGTGCAGGAATACTCATATGCACTTTCACGTTAGATGCGTAAAGCCCGTCATCGACAGGACAGCGCAAGTGCTGCAAACGTTTTGCTAAGTATTCCTGGCTGAAGCCGCTCCGCAGCTGGAGGCGGGTTTCAGAAGAAGAGGGTTTTTTTCAGTTGAACTCAGTAAATCCTGCATTGTTTATTCTGGCATGTAGCTTGGCTTAAATTGGCCCAAGGGAATGAGCGATTTTTTTTTTGAAGGCCAAGGAGAGCTAGGGGCTATGAGCCAGGAAGTCTCATTTCAGTAACAGATTAATAAACATACAAACATACAAAAGGGTTAATTAGTTTTGCTTACGCAGGCTGAAGTCATATCTTACAGCAGTCTCTGAAGGAGCAGGAAAATAAAAACGATCCAACAGGAACCATATTCCTGAGTTTTCAGAAAGCCTTTCAAAAATTCTTTTGCTAAAACCTCAACATTATTATTGCATACGGACGAAAATCCTCTTGTCAACTAACAACCGATCGAAAGGGATGGCAGAATAGGAATAAAGAGTTTTTGGTGCGGAGGGGCTCCTCGCAGAGCTCCGGAGGTGTGCGGGCGGGAACGCGTGCCTCTGCACGGAAAAGAAGGGCCGTGAGATGAAGCCTGCAACTGCTGCAAATGCTTTGGGACACTCAGGGGGGGAAAAAAAAAAAAATCTTGTAATACTGAATGCTTGAGCAATGAGGACATGTGAAATTAAGTGTCAATAAATGCAAAGCAGAACCACATGTGAGAAAATCAATTTTATATACATAGAAATAAGCCCAAATCTTGTGTGATGACAATAGTTCTGGTGTCCTCCAGCTTAGAAAAGGAACATTTGCAGAGGAGAAAGGATAATCACAAAGCTACGGAAGGACTTCCAGTCAAGAAGAGATTACACAGCCTTCTCCGCTTTGACAGATGACATGATGAAGGTCTACTCAATCATGCCCAGCATAAATAAGGTGGAAAGGGGGAAATTTTCAACGTGTCTTAAAAAATAAGAGCTTAGGGGCACCAAATGAAGTCCGGCAGAACTTTTAAACAAGTATTTTTTACATACTGAGCAATTCCATTGCAGAACTCACCATCTCGGCGTATCTTCCATACCAGGCTATAAACGTGCTCAAAAAGCAACTGAATTAATGGAAGAAAAGCTATTCAAGGGCTGTGTGAGATGCCAAGCCTCTAGCTCAGGACACCTGTAACAGGCAGGCTTCCAAATACATTCTCCCACTCTTCGGGCAGAGATATTCAATACCTGCCCTGTTTCACATTCTTTTTCCTCGATCCCTGCCACCGCCCAACACGCCAGTACTGGAGTATCTGGATTCCTGGTCGAGCCCGGTGCAGCCATTCGTACGACTTTTATTGCATCTAATACCCGAGAGACCCAAAGTGAACAACTGAAGAGTTTATTCAAAAACGTTTTACTAGAACTGGGAAACTATTCATTGTTCCCCAGCACAGGTAAATGAAAAACATTCCTAATTATGACTCCTAAATTAAGCAGCTGTTGCAGTAACAATTTACAATGCAATACTACGGGTTTATCTGAAACATCTTCCCCCTGCCCCATCTACTAGTTATCTGCAGACCCATGAAAAAAAAGCAGGAAATCAGAGCTTCCCTTTTCCAGACATAACTTGATTCAGTGTTCCATTTTGAAAAGGCAATGCAGTTATCCATCATAAAGCAAACACAGGAATACAGCAAGAATCTGTTCAATTTAAAAACAAAACAAGGCACCAGTTAAAAAGAAGTGTTTCTGAATTTGAGGGGTTTTTTATTATTTATTGCACTAAGGAACAGCAGGGCAGTTTCACAATCTCACTTTCTGCTTTGAAAAGCTCTGTACTATTACTCTTAAACTCGAGAGTATTTTCATCATTGGACTCGATAAATGTTGCACGTTTGTCCAGTCGTTAATAAGACAGCACAGACATTGAAAAAAAAAATAAAAATCATCATTTAAATTCACACCTTTGTGGACAGTTCAACTTCTCCTATCACAATGACATATGCTTGAGATTAAAGCAAGGCTAACATTCGGTGGAAATACAGAAGTCTCCGAACCATGCATATACGGGGAAAGGTTAACCAGACAGAAACAAAAACAAAAAAAAACCAAAAAAAAACCAAAAAAACACAATAGAACTCCTATTTTTGCAACTGTGTCCACGAATTCATCTCTTAAGACCAACGTCGCCTACAGGTCAAACACGCACAGCACCTCCAGTCCTTCCCAAGCACTCGGCAGCTACGGCTGATTTATATTTAGAGTGGGATACGCAAGTCCAAACGAGCCACTATGAAGCCCAGTCTAAAGAAAATCCCTAGTGTACTAAGGCTAGTCAGTAACGAACACCTACGTGAAGATTATGGCTGTTCCTTATGGAGTGCAAAGTCAAAACTTCTCAAAACCCAGTAATCGTTATATTAACTTACATGTAATTCTTTAATTTCAGTGTCCCAGTAAAATATAAGAAAACAGTCTTTCCACAAGTGTAAAATGTGGAAATATTTTAAAAATAGGGGAGTCATTGTTTTCCAACGCAAACGCGATCATCAGGTTCCGTATTTGATCTCGGTAAGAGGTTCTCGTTGTAAAGAATCCGTGTTTTGTGGCTTTTGCATGCACTTAACTGGAACAAAGCTTGCTGAATGTCGTCTTAAGAGCTCACCAGAACATAAATCATGCTGGAAAATAAAACAGAAATATTAAGATGCACCATTTTGATTAGCGTTACACATTTAATTTTACAGTCGCGTATTCTAAGGAACAAATCCGTGTGAGGTACATGGATC